CCCCAAAACCCCAAAACCCCAAAACCCCAAAACCCCTTTATTTAACTTCACAATTAGAATAATAATTAAATATGAATAATAGTCGGCAGACTGACCTCCTCGATGACAGCCAAGTTAGTGAAATCTCACTCAAATCTCTATTCAAAGAGCACCATGCTGGCTGGAAAAATGTCAGGGATGAACGCCTAGAGCCGTTTTATCCTAAGCCCAAGACTAGGAACGATGGGTTGCAGAGGCCGCAGACTGAGTATCAGTCCCATACGAAGTTTAATAAGTTTGTAGAGAATGAGCCCCAAGCGTATTATCAGTATAAAAAGAAGAAACAGACTAATGTTAAGAAGAACCAGTTCAAACATATTGAGAACCATGTTGATTTAGAAGGTGAGCTAGCAGAAATGGACCGCAAAGACCGTTTATTCGAACGCAGATTTAAAGAAACCCAGAAGTATGGGAAGAAACAACAGAAGCATAATATGGAACAACGGAGAAAGCGTAAGTTACAGAACCAGAAGGAAATGGAGAGGAAGGAAATTTTTGCACAGAAGAAACGAGAAGAGAAGTTACAAAGAGGCACTAGCAAGAAGAAGAATAAAGCGAAGGATGAAACTCCCAGTACTAAGAAAAGACCGAAGACTTCAAGAGGGTATCTTAAATTGAAGAATACTAAGACATATCATAAGGTATTCAGGATGCTCATTGCAAGTCAGAGTAATGTTTATCGGGCCTTTGAGAGAGAGAAAGAACTCATGTTTCAGCTTGATAAGAGCAATATTAAGCCTAGAACCAAAAATTTTTCAACAGTATACAGGAGCAAGCCTGTAACTTATTTTGAAGAGGAGGAGCGGAAGCCCATAACCATTGACCAGATCCTCTCAGAATACAAGTAACAAGAATAGCGAGGTAAAGAAGAAGGCTCCAAAGAAGAGATTAATTAATGTTGACAAACAACATTTTGAAATCAAAAAGAAATTGAGACTTCAATCAAGGAAACTACTGAAGATAACAAAGAGAGTTGATAATTTTATTTATCTCTCCAATTTGATGACACAGAAGCAGAAAATAGATGAACCGAAGAAGCAAGAGAAGACTCCTAGGAAGATCTTGAAGAGACCTATGACTTCAAGAGATAGCAGAATAAAGATATGAACTGATATGAGAATAATTTCTCTAGCTTCAAACTCGCCAAAGCGAGGTAGAGAGACTTACCGATCGGTTTCAAGAGGAAAAGCAGCATTTTATAATGAGAACAAGAGCCCATCAATTAGCCACACTAAACCAGATACCTTACTAAGTGAATATCGGTCAGGGTCTAAAAGTAAAAGAAATGTGAAAAATAGACCATTTACAGCTCACATCGGGTCAAGCGGTAACGAGTATCGCTCGCAGACTTCTGTAGTTAAAGCCTTTTGCTAGCTTCAATAATTTAAATTTCCAAAGGGGTTTTGGGGTTTTGGGGTTTTGGGGTTTTGGGGTTTTGGGG